GGGAAAGGTAACAACAATATGATAAATACCATCTGAGGGAAAGGTAACAACAAGATGGTAAATACCATCTGCGGTTAAAGGTAACAACAAGATGGTAAATACCATCTGCAGGGAAAGGTAACAACAAGATGATAAATACCATCTGCGGGAAAGGCAACAACAATAAGATAAATACCATCTGCGGGGAAGATAACAACTAGATGATAAATACCATCGGCGTAGAAGATAACAACTAGATGATAATTACCAAATGCTGGAAAGGTAACAACTAGAGGATAAATACCATCTGCGAGAAAGGTAACAACTAGATGATAAATACCATCTGCGGGAAAGGTAACAACTAGAGGATAAATACCATCTGCGGGAAAGGTAACAACTAGAGGATAAATACCATCTGCGGGAAAGGTAACAACTAGATGATAAATACCATCTGCGGGAAAGGTAACAACTAGAGGATAAATACCATCTGCGGGAAAGGTAACAACAAGATGATAAATACCATCTGTGGGGAAAGGTAACAACTAGATGATAAATACATCTGCGGGAAAAAGTAACAACAAGATGATAAATATTATCTGCGGAGAAAGGTAACAACTAAATGAAAAATATCATCTGCAGTGGAAAGTAAACGAATACGTATTACAAACAAGGACAGCCTTTATGGCAGCTGTAGATGGTTTTCGAATGACTGACCATTTAGATACACGTGTTATTAGGTGACACAACAGTGATGCACGAACTACACAAGCAGAAGATGCATTATAAACGTGATCTTGGGACAGAACCGCAGGATATCCTGTTTAATCACAAACGTGTCAGTGTTTTTGACAAGTCCAGTGGTTTATTTTGCTCCTAATACACCTCTGTCGAAGCTGCCTCTAGTACCATAAACCTTTCCTGCTGTGACAAAATTCTCTAGATCAGTGTTTTTCAGCCTGTTGTGTTTGGACCATTCTTGGTCAGTGAAAATTTCTTGATGGTCGTGAAATAAATTCGTATAATTAGGTAGCGGATACAGTAAAAACCAAACAGAAATCGAATGGATGTTATTGCTTCGTATTTGTGTATGCCTTTCATCCTTCAATAAAACTTTGTAAATAAGAGCTAGCTTTAGACGAACGCTCGGTTAACATAGACACGATTTTGGCCCGATAATAGAGGTATTATTCATAAGACATCTCTTAGTCTTCTGTCAAAACGACCTTTTTTTAACACGAACTCTTGATTTGTCGGTCCACTTGAATTTGTATTAATGAGTTTTTATTGTATTTCATATATATTGCGACAGTTATTTGCCGTATAAGTCAAGGACTCGTTTCCATACCATTAGGCGTACTGGGCAAATAGGGCTAGACCTATATTGCATAGAGATATCGGCAGTCGGTGGATTACTGAGGTCAAGCTAATGCCCATAAATTAATAATTATGTAATTAAGGAATTCCCAAACCTTTATCTGGTACCAATTGTAGGCTGGACAGACACGGCGGTCAAGGTCATTTTTAAAAGCAAAAAACCCTGCTCCATCCGGATTTGAACAACAATCTTCGATGCCGAGGCTAGAGTCTAGTCGCTACACCACGTTAGCTACCAGTTTTCCATGTAACACATAATAGTAATAATAATTATTTTACACTGAGGGTGCTTTAACACAGTCAGCACACGCTCTCTAGACATCATAAGAGGGCTAATGCCCCCACCCCCCGCCATTTTACCCAATAATTTCTTCATGGCGGCGCCCCTATCCTAGAGCAGTAGTGAACATTTGTTTTCCCGTTGAAGGAACTCATCACCATTTTTTGGAGATATAAAAATGCACAGTGGCAGCGAAAATCAGGTGCTGTAGAACATTCCAGAATGTTCCATTTTGGTCTGTGTGAGTGTCTGTGTGTGGAGTGTTTGTGTTTATAATATGTGTGAACTATGGCATATTATTGTTTTGCTACTTTAGATTACATTCTGTACTCCGTGTACTTTGGGATCGATGACAGCACGCCTGTTTGCTAACTGAACTTACATTCTGCTTATTTCTGGTTGTGACAGGTTATTGCATTACCTGTTGAGCAGACGAAGACCTGATTTTTAAAGCTCATAATTGCACGTAGTGTCGTTGACGATTCTGTATTAGGTGTAAGAACAATAATTAACGTAATAAGTACACGCAGTGGCGCCAGAAACGCTAGTGTTTATTCCAGTGTGTGTGTGTGACCCCGGTTTTAAGTGCAGAGATAAACATATTCAGGCATTTTGATGACAGAACACTGGGTATGTATTACGGAGATAAAGCAACCCCCGCTCCCACAACCCACCCCACCCACTATGCAAGAAACAATTCTTGCTTTTTTTTTTTTTAGTGTGCAAGGTTAAATATGACTTAAATTTTAAATCCATCAGCACTCCGTTCCCATATTTAGCACTAAGCAAAGAGTTCCAGTTTGGATGGTATCAGTAACTGTCTAATTGTATATCCGTCTCGCCATTCTCTTAGTGTTGAGCGGTCGT